TAGTTAAAATTGGCAGAAACTGATTCTACCTGTATCAAATTCCATTTCCTTTGTTCCTAATCTTATCTTTTTGGCCATTCATCTACTACTGTGTTTCCAATAAAATAAGACCGGGTCTTGGTATTTTGTTTTGGTTTTGCCTCCAAAGAGACAGCATGTCTTATTTTGGGGGGTTGTCTTTTATATTCACCTCCAGCACCAACAGCCCCACCCAGCTGGTCCACTTCTTCTGACCGAAGGAGCAGCTGGATTCTGCAGCTGCATTCCAGCCTGCATTTTGCAGTCAGGCCTTCCGGAAGGCCACTATAGCTGAGTAAGGAGCTATGGATTCAATCCATAACTCGGTTCTTAGTTGCAGTGGCCTTTTGGAAAAGCCTGTGATTGAGAAATGCAGGCCTGGCTGCAGAAGATGTTGCAGAAAAAATGGACCAGCAAGGAGAGGCCTGGCTGCAAGTTAACTGGGTATGGGGCATGTGGGGTGCCATAGCTTGATTTTTAGCTGTGTACCTCCTCCCAAAACTTATTTTTGAGGTAGGGCTTATATGAGGCCCACCCCCAAAAATCAAATTAGGGCTTATTTTGGGGGAAACACAGTATGTGTCTTCAGTGATATGGAAAGATGCTTATCAGTGAAGTATTGGTCTCCTACCAAACTACTTTTTGAGTTGTTGCATTGATCGTATTTTTCCAGCAGTGGGAGAGATAATAGGAGATGGCACTTATAAAGCAGAAAGTTTGGATTGGCTCCAATCTCTATAGGCATGTTCTAACCTCATCAATCAGGGATTAAATGTGGAGGTTGGATATCTGGAGTTTAAGGATTGCCTTGTGATTTATCTCCTGCATTTAAATCAATAGATTCAGTAGATGACAGCTAAAATACTATGATGAAGGTAAAACAAGCAAGGAAGCTGAATGCAAAATTAGCAAAACCAGACAACAATTTAAATATATTGCAAGCTTCCTACAATATGGGCTGGTTCCTTTCAATATGTGACTAAGGATATGAACCAGAGTAGTAAATAAGTATCAGTGCAACAATCAAATAAAGAAGTGAGCCAAATTCCTGCAACTGGGATGAATGGGTAGCTGTTCCAAATGCCAAATCTGATGGAAAATGTCCATGGCCAGTTGCCAGATATCGCTATGCCTAACTCATTTTTTTTTTAAAATTGCCTCAACCTTATCTCAATTCGTCAAAAGTTTGTTTTGTTTGCAACAATAAGGCTATTGTTTGCTGTTATATTTTCCCAGGATTAAATTTCTGTATTTCCCAGTTTCAACTTATTTCTGATAGTTTTCCATCTAAGTACTAGTTATGACCTTGCTTAGCATTGTAAGATCAACAAGATCAAGTAGGTGCTATTACCTATTGAGTTCTCAATCTTACTTCTTCTGTCAAAGTTATAATCCTCCTTTTGTTAGCCTGTTATCATTGCTTTGTTCCAAGAAAAGGAAGAATGACTCTGAAGTGCTATAAAAATGCTTTATAACTGCTAGAAAAGCCTCTAATCTAGGGTGGCAAACTTGCAACCTCAACGGGATGGGCATAGTTTCACTATGATGCAACCGGCCATGGTCCGGCAGTTTGACACCCTGCTCTAATCAGTCATTAATTTCCTCTAGTATCACACTAGAATAAATAAAAAACCTGGGAACAGGTGAGAAAATAGTTAAGAGCTATAATGATAGCAGGATGACTGATTTAACACTACATATTAATTATTTTTGAATCTTTAAATCAAATTAGCAGCAGTATCATCTTAAATATATAACAATAGTTCTGGTGCATCCAATGGTCACAAGCTTTTAAGAAAAACCATGACAATTTTTTTATGCCAAGTACATTAATTTACACTGATTCAGACACTCCTGGTTGGATTACATTTACTATTCAATTGTGATAAAGACGGCATTTTAATGTATTTCCATCAGCAAAAAGTATTTTGAGACCTGGCTCAAAAACAGTAACTGTGAGAGGGACCTTGGAGTCCTAGTGGATGATCACCTCACTATGAGCCAGCAGTGTGCAGCAGCAGCAGCAGTCAAAAAAGCTAATATACTCCTGGATTGTACAAACAGAGGCATAGAATCAAGATCATGCAAAGTATTAGTACCACTTTATAAAAAACCAGTAAGACCACACCTGGAACACTGCAACCAATTTTGGTCACCATACTACAAAAAAGATGTTGAGACTTTGGAAAAAATTTAGAGAAGAGCAACTAAGACAATCAAAGACCTGGAGACTAAAACATATGAAGAACGGCTGCAGGATTTGGATTTGGCTAGTCTAAAGAAAAGAAGAAATAGGGGTGACATGAAAGCAGTATTCCAGTATTTGAGGGGCTGCCACAAAGAAGAGGGCGTCAAACTATTCTTCAAAGCACCAGAGGGCAGAACAAGAAACAATGGTTGGAAACTGGTCGAAGAGAGAAGCAACCTGGAATTAAGGAGACATTTCCTAACAGTGAGGACAATTAACCAGTGGAACAGCTTGCCTTCAGAAATCATGAGCGTTCCATCACTGGAGGTTTTTAAAAAGAGACTAGACAGACACTTGTCTGAAATGGTATAGGTTGTCCTGCTCGAACAGGGGACTGGACTAGAAGACCTCCAAGGTTCCTTCCAGTTCTATTCTATTCTAATAAAGCCTTAGCAAAGGGATCATAGACCATATAGGTAATCTTCAACCTATATCTGGATACTTAACCATTCTAAATTGGATATATTTAATAAAGCTTTGGCAAAAGGACCGTACTCCAATCTACCTTAATATTAGCAATTAGAAGATCTTCCCCAATGTTTTGGTCTAGGGCTCTAGGCCAGGGGTAGGCAACCCTGGCTCTTTTATGACTCATGGACTTCAACTCCCAGAATTCCTGAGCCAGCATGGCTGGCTCAGGAATTCTGGGAGTTGAAGTCCATGAGTCATAAAAGAGCCAAGGTTACCTACCCCTGCTCTAGGCCAATTGAGTGGCTATTTTACTGTATTATCTCAGTGCTAAAGAAGAAACATTAAACTGATAGTTTTATTAGTGGCTTATTGAGACCAACAGCACTTTTCAAAAAATCTCCAGTAAGAATAACACTGAGATTTTTAACTTAGTGATTCAGTTTATAAGATCCCATTGAGCTCATGCACTACTCATAATATGGTTTATTTGATTCTGACTGAGCATGTTGAATTTAGTTGCTGTCTTATAACCCATGAATTGTGATTTAGTATGATGTCCCAATCAATATAAGATAGCTTTATGCATTCAAACTATTTGCCTTCAAATGTTCCATCTTCCACCAGAGTTCCAATTTATTGAAATAATATTTTTATGGCAGCTCTTCTGCTTTGATAATAAAAGACTTTGTTCAAGTCTAGAATTTATGTTTGTATCCAAATAGAGAATTTACTTGTGTTCAAAACCAGTTTTTGTATGCTGCACATGTATGAAAAATTTTCTCCTTGAATTTCAGTAAAATCACTTATTTCTATCATTACTTTATACTGATGATAGTGTAAATTCTCAATGGGCATTGCAAAGATTGTTTGAATATGCGAGTGGCAGGTGCTTATTTCTTAATCTGGCAAAAAGGTGTGTTTATATGGCATTTCTTCTTGAACTAAAGACAGTCGTCTGAGTGAACATATAAAAGGGTAACCATTTCATAACTTCATTCTGCCTCAGTCAGCGTATTTCCTAAGAGCACCTGGCACGATGGTGTGACTTGATTAAGGAGAAAGACAGCACTTTTTAAATGTGTTATTTCACAAGTACTTTTGCTCCTGATGCTAACAGGGTTCAGTTACATGAACATACGTTGCACAGTATAATAGTTTGCCAGAACTTGATCCGTACTCATCCTGGAGAGGAAACACAGCCTCCCATTCTAAGGGGCCATTTAAAGCCTTTAAGGCCTTTTAATCTCACTCAGGTTAAGGTCTTGAAAGTTGTCCAGGTTTATAGTTCCACTTCTTGGAATAGGGTCTTGCTTGCAGCGAAAGACAAACTTTAGAAGGTCGATATTTAATAAGAATAACATGACATATGTTGATCAAGATATCACCCAGAAAGCTACAGGCAGGCTTTTAGGTTCATAAATGTATTAAACATGATGTGTAGATGTTCAGGATTTCTTAAACAGAGAGAATAAACCAAATAAAGTTATTTAACACTAATTTCTAAATTACATATCAGATTGAGAAAGAGACAAATGAGACAGTAAAGTACAACCATACTAATATAATTGTGATTATTTATAATGCAGGTAAAGGTTTATCATTGGTTGCTGTTATTCATTAAATGGAAGTCTGCAGTGAGTAATTGTGCACTTTAAACAATGTACCATGATTGAATTTTTGAATGTACCATGACTGAAATTTTTCTAATAGAAATATAGTAGCCCTAGATTTACAACCACAACTGGGACCAGAATTTCCATCATTAAACAATGTGGCCATAAAGCAAGATATCATGTAACCACATCACTTAGTGATGGCAATCCCAGCACTCCTGTACTGGTCATTATAGGAATCCAGATTAAAGAATCTTTAGATCCTCTGTTTAAATACATCCACATAAGAGAACTTAAAATCTCCCTGGAGAATTGGTTTCACTGTGGAACATAGAGGTTTTTTCTAATATTCAATTGAAATGTTGCTGTCATATAACCATTAATCTACATTTTTCATTCTGGAATGATAAACAGGCAATAGTAGTAGTAGTAGTAGTAGTAGTAGTAGTAGTAGTAGTAGTAGTCCTCATAGTAGAAGTAGTAATAAAGTTGGAAGGTACCTTGGAGGTCATCTAATCCAACCCCCTGCTCAGGTAGGGAACCCTATACCATTTCAGACAAATGGCTGTCCAGTCTCTTCTTAAAAACTTCTAGTGATAGAGCATTCACAACTTCTGGAGGCAGGTTGTTCCACTGATTAATTGTTCTAACTGTCAGGAAATTTCTCCTTAGTTCTAGGTTGCTTCGCTCTTTGGTTAGTTTCCATCCATTGCTTCTTGTCCTGCCTTCAGGTGCTTTGACCTTTTCTATAGAACATCCTTTTAGATCTTTGCTTCTTTAGGCCCACACGCTCAGTTATAGTCCTTCAGGCTCTTTTCTCAGGCTCCTTGTTTGTCTGAATCCATATTCAAGTATGTTACCCAGAATTGGTCAGTCAATCTGTCCATCTGTCAGTCTAAAGTGGAGTATTAAAGCACAAACCAATGAAAATTATTACTGTTTGTGATCTGAATATTGTATTTGCTTTTCAGCAGCCATATTAGTCTGCTGACTCATATTTGGTTTGTAATCAACTATTACTTCAGAATCTTTTTTTCCACGATGACCATTATCAAGCCAGGTATCCACATGTGGGAACTGATTTTGTTTCTGATGTGAAGAACTTGGTAAATTTCATTTTAGCCCATTTTTCTAACATGTCCAGGTCATGTTGACTTTTATTTCTGTATTCTATATTTCTGCTGTCCTACCCAATTACATCTTTTCCAGATCTGAAAAGCAATCCCTCCACTTCTTCATTCAGGTCATAAATAAAAATGTTGAAAAATATACAGCCCTGCACTGAACCTTTTGCTACCTCACTATCATTTGCTAATTTTGCTATCTTTCTTCAGTTTAATGTGTTATCTTTCTCCATTATAACTGCTGATAATCTAATTAATCTGTTAAAAAAAAACACCCAAACAATATACTGTTTCAACACTAGAGGGCTGTTTTGCATAGGTTAGCAATTCACAGCACTATCTGTTATTAGCTCAGGCCATAAATAAAATGGACGCTTCAAAAATAAAGTTATATTTCAAACTGTCATTCATTAAACATTAATGAATTTTGCAGGAAATATTTTAAACAGTACCCTCCAAAACTGATTTTCTGCCTGAGAATTGCTTTCCTACTAATGAACTTTCCTTCACACTTGAAATAGCTCTTTTATAATCAGATACTGAAGTGTGAAATTGTGATGCTTTTCCTTTCTCGTCATCTGAGGCTGAAATCCCTCCCACCTGATCTTAGATGCAGATGGTCTGAGAAGTGATTCATGATTCAAAGAGATCCCCAAATTTGGGAATCCTGTATGGCTGACTGATGCGTTATGAAAGTTGTATGACTGGCTCAATGCCTTATTCTGATTGAATATCTAGGCTGCAATATAATCAGAGCATGTGTTTTTCTTGGAAAAGCTGTGTCATTCTAATCAGAACTATATTTTTATTTAGTTGTGGAATCTCTCTTAAATATCAAACTTTTAATGTTACAAATGTACAAATATAACATAAACTCTAGCCTTTTTGAATCTTATCTTCAAATCCATCACATCTATTATAGAAGAAATCATTAGAAACTGGCAGTTTTGTAGTTTTTCTTTGCATATAATGTATTTCAATGGTTTTTTTTAAAAAAATTGTCAGACACATATTGTTCAACCTTCATGTAACTCAATATAGTTAATTTGAAATTTCATATCACCTCAAGATTTTAATTCATTTGCATCCCAATTATTTTCACATCTTAAAAGAGGAAAAAAAAGCCACTGACATACTTGCAATTACAAGCACAAAAGAAAATGACTCTCCCAAACCTACATCTGCTTCCCTTTTCAAGTTTGCCATTGATTTACTCTTTTTCCAAGAGCAAATCTATTGCATAATAACCTTTGTCTATAGTTAAACCTAAGTTTGGCATCAGAAACCCTCACTTGTGATTTCAGAGATTATCATTCTAGCATTCCAGGTATTTAGAGATGTAGCCTAAAGCACCTGGGTATAAGAGGGACATCTTTATTAGTAACAGTTCTGAAATTTTGTACTTAAAAAATAGAGGAATTCACTTTTTTGATTACTTTTAGGCCTGATTCCCACATGCTAAACTGTAATCTTGTTTACATTTGTTTTTCAATGGTGTGCAAATCAGATCACTATCCACTAGAGATTAGCACGAATATGAACTTACTTTTATTTCACACATGGGCTTTCTATTTATTTAGTGTTTTAAGAGGCTTATAATATTTTTAAAGCTGTTTTATACATTATTTTAATGCTGATTTAAACATTTTTGTATACCTCTTTGGGTATGATAGTTATATAAGTGGAATTAAAATTAAAATGATGAAGAATTTTAAAACTGGTTTAGTAATATTCATATCGGTAATAATTGTATTAAGGCACAAGTCCAAAAAAGGGAAATATTAATAGTTTTTTAAAAAACAATACTTGAATTTTTCTAACTGTATTTCCTTTACACTACTTTATTGCACACATTTAATTCTAGTACAACAATATCATAACAATGATATGCAATTTTATTTATTTGCCTTAAGTATTTAAAAGTAGAAGACTGGGGCAAAAATATATTAGTGGAAGATCAGAGATTCCTGCAATGAATGACAGTCAAACACATTTATTTTTACTATGTACAAATGTGGTAGTTTAAAATAGTACTTTATTCACCCGGTTGAAATGACACATAGTCTATGTATAGATAATATTTTGACCCAGCAAGCTATACTGATCTGATAAAAATGCTTCAGAGTTTTCTTACTCTGAACAAGTCATTATGAAAATCAAACCAGTTTGGTATTTTCTCATTGCTTGTTCTTTATCTCCTTCACATCCTTTTAAAAACCTCTGAAGATAAGAAGAACATTTTTCAAGATCTAAGGTGCTGATTAATATCCCTTGGATTAATATCACAAAAATCAAAGAAAAGGTAAATGTTTTTTTTAGACTGCTTGTTTCCTCTGTACTGAAATATTATTAGAACTCACTGTAACAGATAAAGTCTATTCAGCTTACACTAGAGAAGCTTCATACTGTATAACTTTAATAGGATTCAAGGGGAATTTTTATTGTGGCTTATATAATTAATATAATTAATTATAATATAATTATAATTAACTGTACAGTTCTAAAAAAACTTAAAAAAAGAGACAGAAGCAAGTTAAATTGGTTTTATTTATCTATTTCATGATATATTAAGAATTGTTCTAAGTCCGTATGTTGGAAGTATTTTTGCTGGAAGAGAAATGGTACTCCACTTTTTTTTTCAAAAAAAGGAAAAGATGGGGAACCCTCTTTAAATACTTTTGCATAGAATACAAATAATATTTCATAAATTGGGAAAAAGTGCTTTTTAAAGATTACCAGTAAAAATACAAGCCATTTGAAATTACTAATGTCTTATTAAGATTAAATTCAGTCTTTTTCCCCATTGAAATATTATCTAGGTAATATTCTTAAAAATACTGTTCCAATAGTAAAAAGTGCTTTCCATGTAACTCTCCTTCATTCTGTTCATCCCCAAAGCAATAATCTTTTAAAACTATTACATGGATTAATCCCTCTCATATGCTTACATATTCCTTAACTAGAAGTATAAGAATTTCCATATGCTTTCTCTTCATTTTGGAATGTCTGGGAAAGTTGAGTGGCAGATGCTGTTAATGCTGCTACTTCTATTACCAATGGCATTCAGACTGACAGCTCTTCATGCCAAACTAACAACTGTACTTCATAGCTCAGGAATAAGACACTGGCAGCAACGGCAGTTACCAGCAAACCCCCCCCCCCATCTCCACAGAGACAACAGCAGCCACTCAGTTTACTACCCCCAGCACTATCAAGCAGCTCTCCAAGATCTACAGCTAAACTACAAGGAACAAAGTTAGGAATCCCTGGGAAACACATGTGTATATGTGTTGTGTCTCTCGCTTGACTTTGGTCCTGGGTCCAAAGCTTGTTGCTCCCTTCAATCAGCTTGAAAGCATCCACCATGGAAGTGCTTACAGAACTGCCTGCTGAAGAAATAGTTACTGAAAAAGAGAATGATGGAAAAAGCAACAGCCAAATGATCAAGTGTCATCCTCAAGAGCCATCAATTTCCTCAGCTGAGGAATCAAAATATGTGGAGATTTACGATTACCCTGGAGGGACAGGAGAGAGTCCCCAGACTCTAAAGCTGAATCTAGAACGGAATGGAAGTAAAGTGGCCTTTATCAGACCTAAAAATGGACCTTGTGAGATCAGTGAGATTAACAGATTGGCTAACAAAATCTTGGCAGACAAATCTGCGAATCAAGAATCTCTGGATTATACATCTAAAATGGAAGGCACTCTTTCCCCCATGGGGATGAAAGATGATGAGGTTGGGGAAAGGATCTCTGGCATCAGTTCAGAAGGATCTGAGAACACTCTGTCCCCTAGTATCTCCAATGTTCAGCTTTACACACATGGCTGCCCAGAATCATCTTCATCATCTTGTCCTTCACCAATACAAAATACAAGGAATTTTCCAAAAATGGACGACTTAGAAAGAGGGGGGAAAACCTCCTCTTCATTTGGGTATGACAGCGATGAAGATGATGAAATAGACTGCAAAGAAATCTGTCTGAGCAATGAGAGAGGAAGAGGCAGGCATGCTTCACAGCTATTGCAGTCCCAACCCAGCTATACCAGTGAAAACAACAATAGTAATAATGATGAAGCACATTATATTACCACGCATGAAATCCAGCTTAGTGAAGTAGACCATGACATGGATTTTGACTATGGATTAGCTTCTCGATGGGACTTTGAGGACAACAATGTTATTTATTCCTTTGTGGATTATGCTTCCTTTGGGAGTGAAGAAACTCTTGCAGACACACAAACAGAAGAGGATAATAGCTGTTATCTCAGCACAACCACCAGTGATCCTAATAATCAGACAGACAGTATTGATAATACCAGCAGTACAGAGATAGTCAGCATTAATTCTGAAAATGATACTCCAAGCACAGACAAATGCGCCAGCTCGGAAGAAAGTCAGTCCAAGAACCTCTGCAACATGAGTGAGAATTCTGCAGGCCAGATACTCCTATCAATCAAACCAACTTCCAGGGCTATAAATGAGCCTAGCAACCAGCATGAAAAGCAAAACATTATTTACGCTGCCAAGCATGAAGGCGACATGAGCCTCTGTGTCTCCACAGCTCACGAACGAAATTCAAGTTTCAAACAAGATGTATTTCATGACTATGCAAAAAAGTTTATTGCAGTTCCTGCACACTTGCAAACAAGGTGTGCAGCAATAAAAGCAAGAGAATTGGGTGGATATTCAAGTGGTGCCTCCAGTGTGGTAAGTGAGTTGGATGATGCAGATAAAGAAGTAAGAAGCCTGACAGCAAGGGCATTTCGGAGCTTAGCTTATCCCTACTTTGATACCCTGAACTTGAGTTCCAGTGAATCTTCCACATCTCTTTCAGATCACAACCTAGGAATCAACCGATGGTCAACTTACTTGGATTTAAAGTGCAGCAGTCTTGGACAGAAAGCAGAGCAGAATCTTTTCAAAAGCAGCGCTGCATCTGCTGGATGGAAAAGAAACCCTGGGACTAAGACAGCCAGTGACCATTTCTACATTCACTCCAATAAGTCACAGACTAAAGCATTGGAATTTGTTGTCAGTAAACTTGATGGGGAGATAACGCACGTTGAAACACCACGTTGCTTTGAAAAACAGGTCCAGGCAGGCTCCCGAGTTGTTACTTTGCTGGAGACTTTGGATTTCAGCAGCAATATTAATGCGGGTGTCCCCAGACCTGGTAAACCTTCTGAAAATGCTGCTATTGGGTCCAGTTGCACAGATGAAGTTACAGAAACACTGCCAAAGGAGCAGGGCAATGAAATTTGCAAACAAACTGGAGTGGTTGCAGAAACCATGGAAGGAACACAGAAGTCAAAATTTGCATCTAGCCTCCTCAAAAATGTTATTTCAAAGAAGATGCAACAGGAACATGAGTTCAAAATGGAAAGGGGAGAGATCACAGACACCACATACTCTGGTATGTCAAATTCCTCATCTTCTAAAGAGGTAGATAGCACTGCCAAGGAGAAGTTAAAGAATGGGGGGTTGCAGAGACAAAATTCAAGATATTCAGAAGGCAGCTCTGATAGTACTATTGTAACAGCAGATGATTTGGGGGAATTTTTTGATAGCAAGTCACCAACCTCCAAGCCTTCTACTCCACGGGAGGCCAATATTAGCCTAAATAGAACCTTTTCAGAAACATTTTTAGAAGAGGCATGTAAAATAAAACAAAGTGCCTCTGAAACACTCAAGGCAACTTTTCTCCGTAGCCAGAACAGTGCATTTAGAACATGGAAAGAAAAAGAAGCAGAGAAAAAAGAGGAAAAAGTTCCTGTGGGAAAACTGAAAACAGGATTTAAAGGTGATTGGAAAGCTGATATGGGAGAAATCACAGCTAATAAAGCAACTAAAATGTCTCGTCTTTTTGTTCCAAATATTCAACAAACAACAAACAAAGATAATACTAACTTGCATGTGACAAAATACTCCACAGCGACAACTGCAACAGCTCAGACTGCTATTGCCACCACAGTGATAAAGCCCAAACCTCCAGAGATCAAGATAAGCTTGGGAAGTGTGGAGCAGAACAAAGATAATCTTTTCAATATTACTAAACTTCTCAGCCCCAAGATAGCTGGAAATGCCCCCAATTTTTTCAAGACAGCTGTTGATACCAGATGTCAACTGCAAAAGCAAATAAAAGGGGAGGTTATGGACAAACTGCCTCAATTTCAGGTACGTGATGTAAGAGAAAATAAATGTAAAGTCCAAGGGCCTATACACCAGGTGAGAGATGTCAGGAAATTAATCAAAAGTAGTTATAGTCTTGAGTCAGGGGATAACCACAGTGACAGAGGCAGTGTTAACTCTGACCAGGGAACTTTTGACCAGAAACCCAAACAGTTGATGTCAACTGGCATTCCCAGGTCTCTGTCTCCTATGGTGATAACTTGTCAGGCAGTAAATAACATTAAAGAGGACAGGAAACCTAACAGATCTCAAGAGATGGGAGCCAAAGTAAGTAATGGAGGCAAGATGCTGCCTTCCAACCAAGAAGGAACTATCCTGGTGCACAGGACCTCAGGAAGGCTGCCAGTAGCCACCATTGCTCCCAACAAGAGTGACCCTCGCCAGCCTGCTGTATTGAAGATAGTCTCAAAAACATCTGTGCCCTGGAGACAGCAGTCACATCCACCACCACAGCAGCCAATGACAACTGAGAAAAGCAATAAAGTGGAACCATTGGTGGTGGATGGAGAAGAACTTCCCAAAGAAGAGGTGACCAAGGCATCTGTCTCAGCAAACCACAAGGCCCTGCAAAAACTAACAGCAGCAGTCCGGAGCATGGAAGAGCTGTACAGTTTCAGTAAAAATGAGTGGAAACGAAAGAGTGACCCATTACCCATAACTGACAGCCATGTCCTGTCCCTCATTACCCGAGAAGAGCAAACCATAGGAGCCATAAACACCGCCAGGGAAGAATCGATGATGGTTGCCAAGACTGAGGACCAGGAGGCAACTCAGACGGTGGGATTAACAACTTCTCCCAGCAGATCGGCACCAGAACGCCAACCCCGTGGCAGATTCACCAACCCAACCAAGAACACAGAGAAGGTCTCGGCCAAGACAGCGGCCTTTGAGAACCTGACCCGAGAGCGGGCACGCGTTTCAGGCTTCCACGGAGAATCTGCCTCAAGAAACACCGGGTCTGCTGAGAAGGAAAGAGTCCCTGTGGTCCCCAGGACCACCGTAACATTTAATGCTCAAGGCCAGAAGGCCAAGCACCAACCACCGGTGCTCTCGTCTCCTTCCCCACCTCGAGGCCTCAAAGGCCAGGCCAGGCCTCGCGCCATGAAGTTATTTGGCAACCGGCAGGGGAGCCTGGTGGAGCCCGACAAGAGCCGCAAGCCTACCTTTCCCGACTGCGGGAACTACTTGGCTATCTCGCTCAAGGAGTCGTCTGCTGAGCAACCGGCACCAGTGGCCTTAGGCACAGGCGAAGCAGCAGGAGGAGGCAGCCGCGCAGGCCCCGTCGCCACTGCTTCGCCCGCTGCCACCCAGCCTCTCAACCTGGGCCGGTCCGTGGCAAGCTTCAACCCCATCCAGGCGCCCCAGCAGCAGCAGCAGCAGCCCACCGCAACCACCACTCAGCCTCTGGCACAGCGGCAGCCGCCCTTGCCGCCGCAGCCTCAACTTCAGGCGGCGGCGGCGGCTCCACCGTTGGAAATGTCTCCGGCGCACATCTTCCCTCAGGCTCTGTCCCTCGCAGCGGCGGCGGCCGCCCTGACAGGCGCGGCTCAGCCAGCGACGCCTCTGCTTTGCTTCTCGCCGCCCACGTCAGCCGAGCCCGCTGCCTTCCCGCCTCAGACGCAGCGCAAGGTGCTGCTGGACCTCAGCACGGGGCAGTGCTACTTCGTGGATACCCCGCTACAGCCGCAGCCCCAGAAGCGGCGCCTCTTTGACCCCGAAACAGGGCAGTACGTGGAAGTACCCTTGCTGGCGCCGCCGCCACAGCCGCCGGCCCTGGCCCCCATGACCATTCCCATGTCGTCCCTGGCGCTGGGAGCGGCCGCTGGGACCTACAGCGCCCCGGCCGCAGCCTATATGTTCTACCCGGGCTTCCTGCCGGCCGTCCTGTCCGCCACCGCACTGCAAGGCCAGCTTGCCCAGCAACCGAGCGGCGAGCTGGGGTCTGCGGCCGCCTCGTCCAGGAGCGCCGCCAGTCCCGCCACAGAAAGCCCGTATTACATGCCCACGGGCACCCAGCAGCAGCAGCAACCGTGCCCACAAGCGGCTTCTAGCGACGGGAAAGCGCCGCTCATCAGCATCACATCGCAACCATTGGGTCCCCGGATCATCGCCCCTCCGTCCTTCGACGGCACCACCATGCGCTTCGTTGTGGAGCACCGGTGATGGGGCGCCGGCCAGGAGAGATGCTGCTGCTGGTACGAGGGTGAGTCGCCTTGCTGCTATATTTAATTATCACTACAAAGGTGGCGTTTCTGTGAAAGATTGCATAAGGGGAGGGGCATCTGGGTGAGGGAGAGTGGGAACAAGCCTTGCAAAACACACTAAGGTTTGCAACGAGCCAGCTATGTCCAGAGAGGGATCTTTTGCCATTTACGAGTTTTTTTGATTGGTAGTACAACCATTCCTAGCAATAGCAAAGAAAAAGTACGGTGCAATATTTACATTCTTCTTGCTGAACAGATTTTTGTGGTAATGAAAAAGCTAGAATAGTAGCGGGAGGGTTGTAGGTGAAAGATGATGGAATCAAGGCCATCAGGAATAGCAGCACCCCCTAATCTATTCTGTAAAGAGGAAGGATCCAGCCACTGTTTCTTGAGGAGAAAAAATATTGAAGAACAATGAGAAATGGAGAGTAACTTAGAAGGGTAAGTAAATTCTTCCCTAGTCTCCTCTGGAATACTGTCTTGCAGACAAAGGAATGCTTCCAGAGGAATAGCTTCTAAAGGCACTTATGCAGGGTTTTTTTTTTCTCTTTCCTTCCTTATGATCTTATGGGGGGGGGGAACAGAAAAAAGTGAGAATGGGAACTATGCAATCGTTGTATATATCCACATTATCTTGTTTTTTGGAAATGGGGCAAATACATATAATGTTAGGTTTCAAAGTACTTGCAGCTTGCTTACTGTAGTAATCAAGAAATATTGGCCATTTTGTTTACATAGCAAGAAATGATAAAACTTGGCTAAATTACAAATGAAAGACAATTTCCTTCCTTCCTTCCTTCCTTCCTTCCTTCCTCCCTCCCTCCCTCCCTCCCTTCCTGTTGGTTTTGACTCTTGGAGACTGCCTAGTCAAATCCCTGTAGTTTTCTTGGCAAGTTTTCTGCCACTGTCTTATTCCTAGGACTAAGAGAGAATGGCCCAAGGTCACCCAGCTGGCTTTGTGCCTAAGGCAGAACTAGAAGTGATAGTCTCCCAGTTTCTAGTCTGATGCCTTAACAAAAACCTTGTTGGCAGCATCCCTGTTTATGGACACATTCTTTCTGTAACATACAGTATCATGTGTCAATAATAGAATAAAAGACATTAATCTTAACATCAGTATGAATATTCATCAATAGGCTTGCATTCAGGGCAAAAACAGAAGCAGTGGGAAAGAGGAACATATGCACTCCTTACATGATGGTGTTTATACAATTTATACATTTTCTTACTACTCAGAATATTTAATAAATACAGCTGTGACCTGTTTGAAGCAGGTTTGTATGTAATCAAAGAACTGGGAAGTGACATTTGGAGAACTGAGTTTCACTTTGTGCTCGCTGCAAAAATTAAAACCAAACCATCCCTGATTGTTCAAAAGCAATCTCTGCTTTTAGAATTGTCAGTGATTGTTAGGTTTTATTTCTTAGTACTTTATAACCATTCTGACCTTATTTTTACCAAGAGAACCAAAAGAGGGAGTAAATGAACAAATATTTTCAAGTTTCTGATAAGAGAAAGACACTATACAACAGAAGAATTTTTGGAAAAAGAGATGAACCCAATCAGTGTTCTTTTTCTGAGAGCAATTTACAGGAGACACAAGATGTATGTGAGAAAGATAGAGTATATGAATTCTTTGACATAAATAGTGAGAGTGCAGTTCACCACCTGCTTCAAACTATACATGCCACTGAGCTTGTTTCAACACTGATACATTAAACCATTCATTTTAATATTGGAGTTCCAAGCTTTTTTCTAGTAAGGCTTTAACAGTCATTTGACAGAAACTGCATAGGTAAAGTTTTATTCCCATTATGTACTGCAGATAAGAAGCTGAGCAAACCTTTTGGGTTTCTTTGTAGAATATAATCTGTATTACACTGAATAGAATGTAATTCTAATAATATAAAATATATCTCTAATATAAAATATAAGAATCCTACCTACAACAAATTAGTTTTAGTAATATTAGTAAATACTGGTAGTTATGTCAGTATTTAGTAAATACTGGTAGTTATGTGATTTGCATCAAATCATTTTTAAATGCTCCTAATTATTTATTAGGTTATCTTGTTCTCCAATAACAAGAATTTTCAGCAGAAGAAAGAGTTAACTTTTCCTCCTTTAGGACAGGACCATGATCTGGAGTGCAATCCGCTGTGCCTGCCAAATACTGTATTAAAACATTCTATTGAAATAATGTCAACTCTGGCTGTCACTTGAGGGAATAGATTAGACAAGGAATAGCAGTATACTAAATCCCTGGCAAGGGATTTCCTTGTACTGTATCGTGCTTTTCTTTTCTGAGATGTATTTGCAAATCAGTACAAAAACCCTCAGTCTCTTTTTTCTTAGGAAAAATTATCTGAGAATCTTATGGAATAAAGTTTTCTTTTAAATGAGTAAGGTGACCAACTGTCCTCCTTTAGGAGGACAGTCCTCCTTTTGTAAGTTCTGTCCTCCCTCAAAAAGTGTCCTCCTTCATGTCCTCCTTTTTGATATTTGAAGACTAATCTGCAGGGCTTTTTTTCCCCTCATAGAACGCTCAGAACGGCGTTTTTTTGATGTTTTTTTTTTCAACTTTTGCATGAGCTGTGCTACTCCCACTATTGGCTTTCGAAAGCCAATAGGAATTGCTGCTGAGCGTGCCAAAACACCTGGCTGGCAAACTTTGCACATGCAAGTTGTCTGTATTATTGTTGCAATGAATAATTTTTTTTTATTTACCATATTTTTTTCTTCAATTTATTTGTGTCCTCCTTTTCATTGTAAAAAAGTTGGTCACCTTAAAATGAGAGACACTTGACCTACAACCATTCATTTAATAACTGTTTGCTACCTCTCTGCTACTTCAGGACATATAATCCAGTACAAGGCTCTTTCATTATTTTTGAAGCACTTCGGGTGTGGAGGGGAGATACAAGGGAAAGTTCCTTGTTCGTTTTAAATTGCATTCAGAATCCTCAACCAAATTAAACAACTATCAACTCTCATTTTTCAGCTACCTGAAACTACTTTTCTTAAAGTATTAGAGCATACAAAATACTGCCACAGTTTACCCATGTGCATGTTATGTGTATTTGATCAGCATGTCTTACAAACAGAGGCAGAAATTAGAAGTAATGGTGTTAGTTTTGCTTTAAGATTTATGGATTTGAGTAGCACTTTCATGTAACCATTTAACAGAAATATTAAAATAAAGTTTTTAAATTATATGATGATAGAGTTTGACAAAAGTATTAGATCAGGTATAAAAATTATGTACCAAGGATCTACTTAAATTTTATATAGAAATTTTCTTCTCTAAAATAGCAACTGACGACCTTTAGCATAGAACCGTTCTAAGGGTCATGAAGATAAAGTGAAGGTGAGGAAATTACTTAAAGTTATACATTTAAAGTTCAAGAAAGATCATAGAACATCTTGCATTGATATAACAATTTTGTTAAATCAAACATTTAATGTATGTGTTTATGCTTTATTCCTACAGGCACAAAGAACAAGAATTTCACTCAATTTGAAATGTACTTGGTAATTCTAAATTTTCATTTAAATAGTTGTCCTCTGATGGATTGCTTTGTCCAAAACATGTGTTACATTGTTTTCATGTTTGGATAACCTGTTTCCCCCTCATTTTTAACTATGTAGAAATTTAATTATTTAAATATAAATGATTGAATTGTGGTATTTTCTGTAGGTTTTTAAATATAGAAACTAGTAATCAGTGTACTGTGCAACACACAGCTAACTACAGGTTACCTACAAATGCATATATAGAAGCAGGAGTCCTTATTGGTTTCGAATAAAAAACAAGTTTGAATGAAGAAATAAGATGCTGATATAGCTTTGCAGATACCTATTTGCGGGTTTTTTTAAAAAAAGCTTGGAAAGCTTGAATTATTACTCCAATCTATTTCTCTGTTTAAAAAAAAGTGGCTGTAGGATTGTTTTTATACATAACTATATGTATGTGTAGTTTATTCTTAAAATTACTTTAATACATTTTGATATCTCTCTATTATCTTGGGAGAAAACATAAATGTAAAAGTAAAAGAAGTAAAAATTTCTTTTTCCTAAGTTTTGCTAAAATAGTTAAATATATTCAGAATTTGCCAATAATATCCAATTACAGTAGACTTAAGTGATTCCCATTGAAGCTAATTTTAATTTATGGATAATCTTCAATAGCAGCTGAATTAGGATCTCATTACATAATAGGTATGCAGTCAACTAATTTGAGTTTAGTTTAAACCCCAGGTTGGTTGAATCCAATCAGCTATGGATGCATAGCTATCAAGGCAAACATCAGCCCTACAATAGTGTCTGATAGTCCTCAAAAAAAGTTTTTAAAAATGCCCAAATCTGGCAAGTTCTCCAGAATTCCATGAAACTTCATATGAGGACTGCAGTATCATATGAGGGACTGCAAAATGTTTCTGGCAAAAAAGAATGTGCTAAATTTTAGAAATCTTCAGATCTTGCAATATTTAAGGCAATTTGAGGAGGGGGAATCCCACTGCACAAAACTGTGATGAGGGTATTTTAGGAACAAAAAAAGTTTAGTGAATCCTGAGTTAAATGTATTGAAGACCCACTGAAAACTAGGCTTTCTTTAAATTCCTTCGAATATGAAGCCTAATTCTGTGGATGTTTACTTGGATTTAAATCCTGTTATTTTACAGGGCTAATTGCTAAAAGGCATGCATATGATTCAGTTCTTATTATTAATAGATTTTGTTGAAATAGAGTTACAAAGTATACATTTTATTTAATGCCTTCCCCTTAAAACCGATAGTGAAAATAACTGGAAATATAGTTCTTTATTCTGTTTAAATGCTGCTTTATATTATTTTCAAAGGAGTCCTTGAGCTGCACTTTTTTGTTTAAATATCAGAAATCTAGAAAAGTGATACAATTTAATTTAAAGTTACTACACTTTCTTGGTGCCTTCAATAATTGTGGAGCAAGCAGTCATTCAACTAGTGAAGCTTTTTTTTAACTACTTCATTTCCATATGGAATAAATTGTGCTTATGTGATGATAACTGTCATGCAGCTCCCCCCAAAAGTGTTAACCCTTTTGCGTATGTGTCTTGTATATCGTTATTATTCAAAGAAGAAGACACATTTTTTCTTCTTTATATATGAGGAATTAATTTTAGGATAGGAGGGTTTGTTTTGTTTTTTTACAAATATATGAATTTCAGAAAGTTATTTTAGAAAGTACTTTGAGATTTTAACCTAGCTATTTCCAGTTAGTATTCTAAACCACTAATGAATATTTGGCATCAAGTTGTAATTTAAAACAGTGGCCCCCAACCTTTTGAGCACCAGGGACTGGTTCCATGGAGAGAAGTTTCTCCATGGACTGGGGGAGCATGGTTTTGAGTGCTGTCCACGTCCCATGGATGGGGTTTCACTTGTTTGAGTGGCCCAGTTGCTGGCATGCCATGGACCAGTCTCGGCCCAGGGGGTCCCTGATTTAAAATATACCCCTTGAAACATTGAAGGGAAAAGAATGAGCAGTTTAATGAGTTTTTAAAATAGAGAATTTTCATAGATTTATTTGGCACAGGTATGACAATCTTAACTACAATTAGGAAAGAACTATGCAGGAAATCCTCAACAAACTCAGAATGATGTTTAAATGCAAAAGGTACAAAGCCCAAAATATATCTGGTACAATATGAAACATGGGGTGTACAACTTAAAGGACCAGAACCACATATAGCCCCTAAATCTTGGGTGTGGTCCCCAGACGGCCCTGAAAACACAATGGTGTAGCTTAAGTTCTACATCTGATTACAATTGTAAAGTATTTTTAGATGCCATAGGTGAAGCAGGAATTTTTAATTTTACAAATCATATAGTAAATACATTAGTTGCATCAATTTTAAGAGATCTTCGGCCAAGCAGTGATGATTCACTTTCAGTATTCTGTTTCTGGTTAGGTATGTTACAAATTCTGCTGCTACCCACAACCATACCAGTCGGGGTTGTGTAGCACATGATTCAGGCAGTGTACAGTTTCCAATTAGCTTACAGTTTCCGGTGGCTGGCAGTTCATCACTATAGTGACACAGATTAGTAGATCAGATTCTTAAACTAAATAGTCAATAGCTAAACTTAAGTGTAGAACCAGAATAAATAAGCTATGGTATCCTAAGAACAAGTCTTATTTTTTTCTGCCATATTGTTTTACTGAAAGTTCTTTGTGGTTTTGGGCCAGAATTCAGCACAGTGGGGCTTAATCACATAATACTCTTCATTCTAGCCCTGTTTTAAAACACTGAGCTTAACATTTTTAAAATGCAATGCTAGATGGACCATACTACTTTTTAAAACATATTTCCACTAAAGCTCTTACACACAAAAAACCACTCAAGTCATTCCCATAGTTCTGAATCATTTGATTTCCTTCATCCATATTGTGACTTAAATCTTTTCCATGCTGATTTAAGCTCAGTTTGCTCAAAGAAGTAATGGTAAATGAAAGATCAGTTATGTTCCTACCACATAAAAATTTAACATGCAGTTCACTGTAAAAAATGGATTCATGCACAGGAAGTTCCTTGTAGTTATTGTCATTTTAATGCGTATACTATGAGAATGGCTTAAATATGCTTTCGGTTGAATGTGTGAAAAAGCTCCAAGCATCTACAGGTTCATTAAATATGATGCTTATTCAGATCTCCTTAGAGGTGATTTAACATGGGCGATTTCCATTTTATAGTAGCTTTAGATGAAAAAAAAATTATCAAGTTCTGAAGAATGAAATAATGTAATGTGAAAATAAGACAATTGTTGTGGGATTCATATGTTTATTTTTCTGCTTTGTATTTTGTTTTGTTTTCAGATTAATAGCTTTTTAAAGAAAAATGAATATACAATATTGTTTTCATAGTACTGCCCATCTGTTCTGTTTTTGTTTGTCCTGAAATGAGTGTGCTGCATAAAAGATTTATGTAACAACTCTATGTACTATTTTCAGACTGCCAGACAGTATGGCCGCAAAATTATCTCAGCTATATCCACTAGAAACACAAGTAATAATAGCATGATTTTTTTCATCTTGGTGCTCACAATAAAGTTTCAGTCTATAGTTTACAAGATGCAGCTTTTCATCCATGTGTATATCTTAACACAAACAATTTAATACACAGTGAATGGTTAGTTTGAGTTTCAATTGTATTGACAGATGCTCAGGGTTAAAGTTTTACCCAGTGTACTTGAAAATCAGAGTGAAATTACATTTTATTTGAAAAGTGGGCCATCACCAAGAATAGCAATTTGTGTCACTTCTCTTTCTCCATAATTTGTCATTCAATTTGTGTCACTTCTCACTTCTCTTTCTCCATAATTTGTCATTCACATTTACCTCATGTTTCACATGGTGCATTTTTTTCATCTTTCATTGTTTGGCAGGCAGCATTGTAGAATCAGTATCATAACATGACTCAATAATCAAATAAGTGCTTTTTATAACATGAATTTTTGTCTATTAAAATGATGAACAGGTATACTATTTTTAAGTTTTGAAGAGATATCTATAAAAATCTTTTCTCAGGGCAAAACTCTTCAGAACAGTGCCAAAGGTGCTCCAGCATTTAAAGAAAATTTAAGTTTATGTCACCTAATATGCAAATGAGTTCCTTATTCATCAATTATAAAATTAATAGTTATTTGCATCACTTAATTATTAAAAACAAGTATTTTCATGATTTCAGACAGAATTAATTCTATAAACTTCCACTATTTTTTTAATTTTATTAAAGTATACCATTGGAATAGTAAAAAACTAACATAAACTGAAAAATAGAAAATTAAAAAGAAAGAGCAGAAGGTGCTAAAAAGAAAAAAAAGGAAGAAATAGAAATAGGAAAAAAATGAGTATAGGAAAGAAAAAGAAATATATATAAGGAAGTTGCTTCCCGCCTTTATAACAACTAGAATAAATAAATTAATAACTTATTACCTTCTTTTAAAATACAACAAATTATTTCTTCTTCCCAATTTCCAATGCTTTTCTATAGACAAATTGTTAAAGCTTTATCATTACAGTCTTGATGTCAGCAAAAGTCCATTAAGGGTTATCAGAGACAATAACATATCTGTTTTAATTTGACCAAGATTGATCAAATAAACCAACGTTATATTCCTTTTACTAATATTCTTAATCTATAGTCTCTTCAAATAATGTACTGGAACTTGACTTCTTTTTAGTTTTTTTCTTTGTCCCTTCTCACAAAATTCTTCAAAATGTTAGCAAGCCTGTTTTCATACAGAAAATTATCCAGATCACTCTGTTGGTTTGTTGCTAGTATCTCTCTTTTAGTTATTAGGACATCAGCTGGTTTCTTTTGTATGCCCAATATTTTCGATGTCACTCTTGTAGCCTACCATTTTTAAGTGCACTTTCATCTCAGTCTTCACCTTATTAACTAGAACTTGTTCCTATTGTATAATATCTTTTCAACAGTCTTATTTCAAATTTAGCCCAGTTGTAACTTTCTAAAATTATAGTTTTAATCATCCTTTTGATGTTTATTTTAAAAAATTCTTTTAAGTATTTAAACTTCTAATTAAAACTTCTTTCACTAAGAATTGACAGAAACTCATCTGTTGCAGTAAAACTTGTCAATCCAAAGGTTTCTAATAGCTGAATAGCAGTTAAGAAGCAATTTCTGATAATGTTTCAAAGGCACCACCCTGGTTTGAGTAAGAAGGCTATTCCCTTGTCTCCCAAAGCTCTAAACCCATAGAAGATCATTATCTTATGGACTCCTTGTGATGAACAGCTGTCTGGAGTACTTGTGGGCAATCTCAAGCCCTTTCCTCATCTAGAGAGGTTTCATTCCACTACAGTCATCAGCTCCACTTTTTGCAGAAACATCTGCAGTCCACCATTTCTTCCCTGGAATGTGGCCTTATGTTAAAATCATCATAGTAAAACAGTGTGTCTGATAATAGAATAAGCTTTAAATTAAAAATGCTTTTTTTAGAGCTTTGAGATGGCATTCATCTGAGAAGAGAGATATTTTTAGTGTCAGATTTTTCATTCACAAATTCCCATCCTTTTCACTGAAGGATAGTTCCAATTATTGTCCTAAAGGAAACTTCATTCTCCCATTATTTATTTATATGCAACTTTAAAAATCTGGAAAAAGATTAATCTGACTTCTGGTTGACCTGCTTGTAAATAAGATATTACTAAGGTGCAGAATGTAATTTCATATTCTATAGGATAAATTAAATTAATAATTCAGATGTATTAAATATATTTTGTATCCAAGCTGTAGAGTTGGATGGAAAGAACTATCACTAAAGCAATTCTGCAAATATTTATATTTACTTGTTGCTATTATATGTAGACTTTGTAGCAATTTGTAGGTATCTTCTTGTTCAACCTAGGTAACAATACAACCAAATTTTAAAATCTTATTTTCCTTAAACAATGTCTTGGCATCAACATAAAACAACATTTTCATAAAGAGATGGCCAGTTTTGGATTTGAATATATAAATAAGTCAAATTAGGTTACAGTTCTGTCTATAACTATCTGTAGGATTAAGAAACTGACTTTTTATATTACATGTATTTCACATTTTTATTACAGAAACACAAAATCATAATCTTTAGGCATCAATTAAGTGTTAGGATCTTTGTCAGCATACAGTCTAAAAAGAAGTTCTATCAATTTCACTGGATTCTGTATGGTCAGGTAGTCCCCAACTTACGACTACAACTGAGCTAAGCAAGATAGTTATGAGTTTTGTTCCATTTTATGATCTTTCTTGCCACATTTGTTAAGTGAATCACTGGAGTTGTTAAATTAGTAATACAATTGTTAAGTAAATCTGACTTCCCTTTTGACTTTGCTTTTCAGAAGGTTGCAAAATGTGATCACATGACCCCAGGGCATTGCAGCCATCATAAATGCATGTCTGTTGCCAAGCGTCCAAATTTTTATCATGTGACTGTAGAAATGCTGCAACAGTCATATGAAAAATGGTCATAAGTTGTTTTTTTAGTGCCATTGTAACTTTGAATAGTCAGTAAATGTATAGTTGTAAGCTGAGGACTACCTATATTGTTCCAGACCTGAAATGTTTTGTTGAATATTTCTACTTGAGATTGACTTTTACAGGATTACTTATGCAAGTATTAAGAGGTGAATTAGCGATTAGAACTTAGTAATTCTAAAATACTTTTTCAAACTAAATGAAGATGGTCGTCTGGTTTTCCTCCTATTTCTGGATAAAAAGAGGATTGGGGTAAAGGAATTTAAGAATGGTAAGATAAAGAAAGAACAATGATCATGAAAGAGATGGTTGGTTGAATGTCTGAAATGGATGCAGTTGAATAAAATGTGAAGGGCAGAATGCATTTGAAGATTGTTTTAATAAAATAGTGCTACTTGTGAAATGCTTAAGGAAAACTAACTGGAAGAAAATGATTATGCTGCTTTCAACATAGATGACCCTATAGCAAGTTCTTGGCTGAAATCTGAAGTGATCCTCTTACAGACAGCTGTGAGCTTGAAATTGAAAGACAGCAAAACTAGCTAAGACAATCTGGGAATTGCACTATATGTGTATTGCACATAGCAAAGATATAATTGTATAAGGATCGCAAGAATATATAATAAACTGTTTAAGTCCTTTAAGAAGCAAACTTTTTAAGCAAATAAGCAAGGATTTGTATATTTTTTGAATGTTATAACAAATAAAATGTATTTTTCAGTAAACGATATTATAAACAACCTCTCAGTATTCTGCGTTTTATTATTTAAAAATATTGTATTAGAAACCTATTAATCTATAATGCAGGGGAAAATTATCTCATAAATATTGTTATGTAAAATAAAGAATAGACTCATATAAAATTAAATTAACATTCACCATCTTTTCACCAAGGGGAACTAAAAAGACACTAACATTATTCTCCACTTCTTAAAATACCGACTATGTGTTAATACAATGCCATTCTCTAAGTTTTATACTGCCATGTCTTTAAGGAAGGCAGAATAGATATAGAAACCACAAAAGTGAGAAATGAGAGCCAAGGAAGGGATTGTGTAATTATGAATTATAATTTACTCTGTTTTATGAAAAGAACACATCGTTGTTCCATGCTTGTGCTGTCCTTCAAAGGGCAGCTACACTGGCCTGGTGAACCTGGAGAACCCTTGAACCTCCAAAGGACTTTTATAGGTCCTTGAAAGATATATGTTGCAATAATGCAGAAGGTGAAGTGGGTTATGAATAAGCAAAAATTTGCAATGGCTGTCTGTTGAGCACAAAACTACCTGCAAAGATTAAACAGTTGCCTCACATTTAGAATAGGCTCTTTTGAGCATCTTGAAGTACTTTGAACTCAAGAAAGATGATCAAATGTAACTCTTCCAATAAGGAAATACCTCACAATTTCAAAATACCTCACAATCAATTTTGCATTTAAAAGAAGTATTTTTCATATTAAATGGGCATTTCACACTCAAAACTAGAGGTGTCAAATTCAATTTCTACATCACTAGCAGTGAATTAGCTGCAAAGTTTTCTTTCTTTCTTTTTAAATGGTAGACAGTAAAGGCAACTCTGATTTCCACATTGTCCTTTCCTAGTGTACCTAATGAAAAACAAACACACCACAAAACAAAACCTGCACAAAATAATGAGAAACAAAAGGGTAACATTTTTCCTATTTATTTTATAGGTTCCAAATGAATAGAATACCTTGAAACAGATATCAAAA